CTTTAGAAGATCGGGTCATACACCTAGGTACCTGTATAAAAGCCGCAACAAAACAACACAAGTTCAAAAATGCAAATGCAATGCACACTAAACTATATGCAATGAAATGAATCAATCACAACTCCTACTTCTTAATGATCTTACTTCACAACGGCAACGACGCCAATTTGAAAGCAAGTTGAATTGATATGTCGCAGCTTCAACACTTTCAAATGAGTTCCCCTAAAACAAGTAATAATGCAAGTACAATGGGAACCGTAATATCAATCCGTGGAAGTAATAAGAGTATATGATTGAGTTATGAATGATTCAATGGGGAACTAAACTAAAAATGAAATTTACAATCTTAGACTAAATTAAAATGAGGTAAAATCCTAATATGCAGTGAATGAAAATATCTGCAGAATGCAAAAATGGCTAAAAATATGGAAAATCACAAATCTAACCCAAAATCACAAATCTGACCCAAAATCACAAATCCGACCAAGATCAATGACCGACGTGAACGAGTAATAACAATCAGGAATCACGGTCGAATTTTGTGCTCTCTGGTCAACATACAAAAACTAATGAGTTGTCTCGGTCAAAAATGGAAATTAGTGAACAAAATATATGATTGACCTATAAGAATGTAGACGTAAATGAAACAAAAATGCAGATGAATGAAGTTAAACGAAATTCATAAATCTGACCACAATGAATAGTAACCACTAGTCGAAACCACAATCGAAATGTGAACTCTCGGTCGAATGAAATGTAAAAACAATTTCTCAGTCAAGAATCAAATGCAAGGTGTAAAATATATGAATGACCGAGTGAAATGTAATTATTTTTTTGAGTTTTGAGTTTTTAAAATGGAAAATGACCGTAGTGAACAAGCATCGGTGGTCGAAAAGTGGTCGAAAATCAACAAAATAAAAAGTCTCGGTCAAAATGAATATATGAAGAAATGCCTCGGTCAAGAATCAAATGAAGTGTATAAAATGTATGGTTGACCGATGTAAATGCAAATATTTTTGTATTTTGAGTTTTAAAAATGTGAGATGACCGTGTGAAAGTGTTTTGGTGCGTGTGGTTGAAAACCCGACCGAGTGACAAGTGGTCACTTCGGTCAAAATGTTCAAAACAGTGGTAAATGTGTGATGTGAATGATGGAATGAGTGAAGTAATGTATATTTATGAGTTTTTCAGTATTCAAGGGGAATTTGTAGTGCAGAAAATTAAAACGAGAACCTAGCTACACTTAAACTATTCTAATCTTATGCTAATCTATGACAGAACCTAAACAATGCAGTAAAATCTATCTAAACCTAAAACTAAGCTTCTACAAAGATTAAAGCAAGTAAACAAAGCAATAAAACCTAGCTACCGTGATTGTAAAGCAATTAAAACATCAAAACAGTAAAGTAAAAGCAGTAAAATGCAGAAAATTAAAGAAAGCAAGAACAAGAACTGTGGAGCAGATTCGGTGTAAGCAAAATTGCAAAACTACTGCATTTTTGACATTGTGAAAACCTAATTATTCAATCAAGCATTCACCATACATTTCAACAAAGTGATTGCAAGCTTCAATCCTCAACCGAGAGACATCCACAAGCTAAAGCAAGTCAAGAACACAAGTCTTAAACAAGTTGTCACATGCAATTTAGTTCCAGCAGATTTTGTTCGGTAAAAACCTAATCTAATTCATGAATTCAGTAAAGAAAAACAATTAAAGATGATAGAAGAAGGAAATCCAGATCCAATTCGTGAAGAACAATGAAGAAGAATGAACACATACATGGAAGATTGAGATGCAAGCAAGGAGAAGAGTCATGGTGCAGTGGAGAGAACAACTGAGAGAATTCTGATCGATTTGATTGAATCTGAACTTGAAAACTTCGACTATCCGTTATTACATTAAGTTAATTTACTATATACTTCAACTAATGTACAATTACAACTTACAAGGCCCATAACCGGACCTAATCCAATAAGATGTTGAAGAGTCGCACTGTCTTCGTTTCAATGCAGTACCGCGCGATTCGAAGCTTGCAGTTTTCTCAATTATTCTTCAAATGAAACGATTCTGGTCTCATTAGAAAGCTTGTTAAGTTATATTTCAAACGCCACCGTTTTGACTAATTTTGGCGGTCTATCGAATTTATGATAATTATTTTACTGACGCATGCCCGGTGGACCGACTCTGTGCACGTAACCTTCCTTAAATAATTTATATAAAATTCAATTTAGCTCCGAATTGAGTGTTTCTTGATCCGCTGGAAAGATGAATTTGTCTAGCTTTCACTGCTTCAAGAATAATGATTTTAGGATCTCTGTAAAAAAAATAATAAATAAAACAGTAAACTAATATCAGTACCCGTATACAATAAAATACAGCTAATTTATTATTTTTATGCAGAATTTTATATTACGGCTTCTAAAGGCCTAGTAATACAAATTATAGTTAATTAAGCTTTATTAACATATTATAAACAATAATATAACATTATAAGCTACTTAAGATGTGCTGAAAATCAGTCACATCAATGGCGACTCCACATAACCTTTTCAAAACTAGCTCTTGGATTAGCCCGGTTATCAGACAATCCAAGAGCACATTTTCGAAAACCTCGCCCCTTGGTTCAGCTCGGTTATCGGAAAACCTAAAGGCGTTGTAACCACCAATAAAAAAATGCGAAAATCAAGAGGGTCGAAATCATCGCGTCGCTCCGACCGCCCTCGTTTTGACGGCGGCGACAATACCAGAGGGGAAAAAAAATCTTCATCAGTGAAAGAACACAAACGAGAGAAACAAAGATAGAAAAAATAAACACAAAAATTAACGTGGTTTGACACTTTTTGCCTATATCTACTAACATACTCAACAACTCTTCATTTCTCAACTTACAATTTTTTCAAGGACAAAATTGCAAAACCTCTCATACAAGGACAAGATTGCAAACCCTCTCTTGACATACAATTACCCAAGTCCCCAATACACCAAAAAACTAGTGTTGTTGTGGTAAGTAGACTCAAACTATCACCCCTTATTTATAGTAGTCTACCACTCCCCTTCTTCAAACTATCTAATGTGGGACTTTGGAGGATACTCACACACTTTGGGTACAACAACTTTTAAGCATAATGGGGAAGATACAAAATGGTGAATTATGTCATTGCAAGTACTATGAATTACAGTTTCCAGGTTTATGCATGGCCAGTGGCGGATCTTGACCATTAATCTTGAAGGGGTCAAATAATATATTATTAATAAATAATAAATAAATATAAAAAAAAAGATGAAAGTGTGAAAAAATAAAATTGTAGATATATACTTAAATATATTAAATAATTATTAAGTTTGAGGAGGACAAAATCATAAATTACATGAGAGTTACAAAACCGAGGAGGGTATTAGAGGATAAAATTATAAATATACAAGTAAATATATTAAATGGTTATTAAGTTTGGGGAGGACTAAAATCATAAATTACATGGGAGTTACAAAATTTTGGGAGGGTCATGGCCCCCTCAGCTCCTAAGAAGATCCGCCACTATGCATTGCCGGTCTCTTTACTTAAGGAGTTGGATGGTTGGTTTAGGAATTATATTTGGACTGAGGGCCTTCATAAAAATAAAAAGGGGACGGTGAAATGGAACACTATTTACAAACATTTGGCTGAGGGTGGTTTGAGTGTCATTTCTATTTCACTGGAAAATCAAGCTTCTATTCTTCAACTGGCCTGGCAAGGATTGAATTATATCTATAAACCTTCATCAATTTCGCCTGACATTGTAAAGAATTTTTCGCTCATTAAGGATCATACCTCATGGATCATTGGGGATGGTATTGAGGCTCGTTTCTGGCATGACCACTGGTGTGGAGATGAATCTTTTATTGATAAACTCAATATTACCACTGATGTTGTAGATTCTCTTAAGGCCAGGGTTTGTGATGCTTGGAATGCACCAATTGGAACATACATGTTAACTTTCTTGGCAACATTTCTTCCCTGCACAACGACCTTCAGCATATTGCCAACATGAAGGGGGATGATCTAGCTATCTGGATTAGTCACCCGCATATCTGTTAGGGATATATTAGAATCAATGGAATCAAGAACGTTGGTGCAAGGCTATCTGGCATCCTAACATCCTCCTACAAAATCGTTTGTGACTTGGAAACTTTTACATCACAGACTCATTGATGATGATGTACAGAAAAGGGGTCCGCACTTTTCCTGATAACTTTTTTTTTTTCTTCATAGATCCATTATTTCGCAGTATATGATCATTTGAGATTATTTATGTGAATATTAATGAAATTGTAAGGTGTTCAAACTTCATCAAGTTAATTATTTACTGATTTCTGCGTAAAATTCATATTAATGGTCTAAAATATTTAAAAAATTATTATTATTAAAATTTAAACGTTAGCAAGAATTAGAGTTTTGAGAAAAACCAATTTTATCAGTTAATAATAATACTTCATAAACGTTAATTAAGATTAAAGACACTATAGTTGCATGCAAATTGTTTCACATTCACATTAGTTTTCTTATTATATTCTTTTCTTTTCATAACAGAGTTTTCCATAAGGTTATTTATTGGTTCAGTACATTTGGCAATTTTTTTTACAATTGTAATATGAAGGAGATATTTATATAAATGAATATTACAATATTTAACCCAAAATTTAGCAATAATAAATTTAACTCTTGCATTTCTATTTAACATATGATTTAAATCAGCCCCGAAATATAAGATATTAATCCTTATACGCATAACAAGTTATATTATAAAATTTATTGAAATTCATTATAAATAAGCTACACAGACTTATTTAAAAGAGTTACGAGAGTCCAAATAGGTTCAAACATTAGGCTCTCTATATAAACTGTGGTATATATAGATGATATTACGAACATGCAGAACACCCAGCAATGACACACGATGATACAATAAAGTAAAAGCACTCTAGTTTTAATTTTCTTATTATAGCTTCAGAAGTGATGATGCTATTTTCTCATGACATCCACGTAGGACTTTCCATCAAGTTTTCTAGAAAATAGGCCTTTGAAGTAGTCCTTCACTCCTATGCTGTTGAATCGTGGTGGTGTTTCTTCATTAATCAAGCTTGATGCAGGACCTACTACACCATCTTGATTTGGGCTATAGAATGTTGCAATGGACAGTCTTTCTTTCTGAGCATTTACTGTTGCTCGATGCTCAATGCTTCTGTACATTCCATTCGTTATAATCTATCATGCAAAACATGCGCGAATTAGTGCAAAATCAAGTCAGTTTCGTACTCATCATGATCTGAATTTGGTCAGGTTTGTATCATATATGGTAGATTTTATGGTTCCTTTAGATTTTCTGGTTTCTCTTTCTGTCCAATCATGTCTCGAAATGACACGGGCACAACACAGTCATATATTCTTATCGGATGTTTCTTACCATAGCAGTGCCATTTTCGACTAAATCACACCAAATATTCAGATAATGAATATATTTTTAATTGAATTAATATACCGTATCTACTTAATTAGGATAACCCGTAGCCAAAATTACTTTTTACATCAATTTTTTTATTGGATTAATAAATATATGACATAATAAAAATGGGATGATATTTTTAAAATTAAAATAAACTTTTTTACGATTGGATCTTACGCGTTTGTCTTAAAATTCGTTTTGTATCTTTCTTAGAACTTCATCTTCTTTGTGTTTTTCGTGAGAGAAAGAATTTTTTTGGTTGAGTGACAATATCATGTAACAGGGTGACTAACAAGCAATGCAAAAAAAAAACCTTAATGAAAAATTTTTTGCTCTAAATTATGTTTAAGAGAAAATTGTTAGGTAAACATTAAATGCATGTAGTTGAGAGGTAGTGGTTATAGAGTTAGTAGTTGAGAGGTAGTTGTTGTATTGAATGTATGTAGTTAAAAGGTAGTAGTTGTATTAAATGCATGTAGTTGAGAGACCATATCCAAAGGGCCTATAAATTGACCATGCATCACTCATTGCAAATACATCAAGTGATAATATACAGAGTGCTTTATTTAGATACTTGTTTGTCTACAAATTGGCATCAGAGCTTGAGAGCCTGAGTGTCTGAGTGCGTTAGAGAGAGTGTTTGAGAGTTAGAGAGTTTGTTTGAGATGGCCAACTTAGCTAACAGCATGCCCCTACCAAAGTTATCAAAAGGCGTAAGCTATGATAACTGGAGCCTGCAAATGAAGGCTCTCCTTGGTTCCCAAGAAGTATGGGATGTGGTCGAAAATGGGCACCAAGAACCAGAGAATATTAAAGAGCAGACGATTGCTCAGCTTGCTGCATTGAGAGCAACACGAGTAAAGGACAAAACGGCTTTGTACATACTGTACCGAGTTGTTGATGAGTCCGGCTTTGAGAAGATAGCAAGTGCTAAATCTTCAAAAGAAGCGTGGGATATTCTGGAGAAGGCATATAAAGGGGATAATCGCGTGAAGCAAGTCAGGCTTCAAACTCTTAGAGGCGAGCTTGAAAGCATGAGGATGAAAGAGGTCGAAGGGGTTGCCGAGTACATCTCCCGTGTTGAGACCGTGGTGAATCAACTCGAAAGAAATGGAGAGACGCTGCCCACTTGCCGAGTGGTGGAGAAAATCTTAAGGTCGATAACTGACGATTTTGAGAATATCGTTTGTGCAATAGAAGAGTCCAAGGACTTGTCGGTGCTCTCGGTGGAAGAGCTTGTCGGGTCGCTTGAAGCGCATGAGCAGTGGAGAAGGAAGAAGAAAGAGGAGTTCCTTGATCAAGCACTCCAAGCAAAGACAACCTTAAAGGAGAAGAAGGTTCCTTATGCTCAGAACACTTAAGGCCGAGGTGGTAGAGGTAGAGGAGAATATGAAAGAGGCAAGGAGCCAGTCAGTCAACAAAACTGGCGTGGCCGAAGACAAGGTAGAGGTCGTGACGGTAGAGGCCGAGGTGGTCAGTCAAGCAATTCCGGAGTTGAGTGCTTCAAATGTGGGAAGTACGGTCATTTTGTTAAGGACTGTTATTCAGGTATCAAATGTTATAATTGTGGGAAGGTTGGGCATTTCGCGAAGGACTGCCGATCTGAGAGGAAGAAGGAGACAAACCTCCTCTCTGAGGACACTGAGGAAGAAGGAGTATTGATGATGTCAAGAAGTTCGGATGTCGAGCTAAGTCCGAGCTGTTCTGACAACTCGGTTTGGTATCTTGATACAGGAGCAAGTAACCACATGTGCGGGGACGAAAACCTTTTTAAGGAGCTCACTAAAGTTGAGGTCGGACACGTGTCATTTGGAGATGCATCAAAGGTGGCAGTAAAAGGCAGAGGTACAATCTGGTACCTGCAGAAGAATAGCCGAGTTGGAGAAATCAGAGACGTGTACTATGTACCCGATCTCAAAAGCAACATATTAAGTATGGGTCAGCTGATGGAGAAAGGCTACTCGGTTCTGATGAAAGACCGAGTACTATACCTGAAGGACAAGTCGGATCGTTTGATTGCCCGAGTAGAAATGAAGAAGAACAGAATGTACAAGTTGGACTTGAAGATAGTCCAAGAGAGGTGCTTGAAACTTGACGTGAAGGATGAAGCAATGATGTGGCACTTTCGATTTGGCCACTTGCATTTTGGCGGATCGACCGAGTTGGTAAAGAAAGAGATGGTGCGAGGACTCCGTCTATGAAATTTGAAAAGAAATTATGTGAAGAGTGTGTGCTCGGAAGCATCCGAGGACCTCATTTTCGAGGACGGCCGAGTACCGTGCAAAGGAACAACTCGGATTGATTCACACAGATATTTGTGGACCGATTACCCCTGAGTCCTTCAGTGGGAAAAGGTATTTCATTTCTTTTATAGATGATTTTTCAAGAAAAACCTGGGTATATTTTTTGAAGGAGAAATCGGAGGTGTTTGAGGTGTTCAAGAGATTTAAAGCAATGGTTGAGAAAGAGACTGGCATGCCTATCAAATCTGTTAGGTCTGATTGAGGAGGCGAGTTCATTTCATCCAAACTCATGAAGTATTGCGAGGAGCAAGGGATAAGGAGATTTCTGACAGCACCATACTCACCCCAACAAAACGGAGTTGCCGAGAGGAAGAATCGAACCATTCTTGACATGGTTCGAACAATGTTGAGAAGAAAAAACGTGCCAAAGGAGTTCTGGGCAGAAGCAGTGCAATGTGTCATCTATGTGCAAAATAGATGTCCACACGCTAAGCTGAACGAGAAGACACCGCAAGAAGTTTGGAGTGGAAGAAAACCGAGTGTGTCTCACCTTAAAGTGTTCGGTAGCATAGTTTATGGTCATGTTCCAGCTCAACAGAGGACCAAGCTCGAAGATAGAAGTAAAAAGTACGTGTTTATTGGGTATGATGAAAAAACCAAGGCGTACAGGTTGTTTAACCCAATAACTAAGAAGGTCATCATGAGCCGAGATGTTCAAATTGATGAAGAAAGCGAGTGGAGTTGGAACAACCCAGAGAAGGAGTCCATAGGAAGTAGAAGCTCAGAAGTTGATACACCACATACTGTGAGAGATCATGAGACTTCTGATGAAGAAGATGAACCTCTACAGCCCAGAGCGCGAAGTTTACAAGATATATGCAACTCCACTGACGAAGTGCATGTTGTATGTCTCTTGGCAGATTCAGAAGACTTAAGTTTTGAAGAGGTCGTGCAGGAGAAAAGGTGGAGAAAGGCAATGGACGAGGAGATCGGAGCAATAGAACGCAACAACACATGGGAGCTAACTGATTTGCCCAAAGGAGCACGACCTATCGCCGTAAAGTGGGTGTACAAGAAGAAGACAAATGTTGAAGGAGAAGTTGAACGATATAAAGCTCGACTCATAGTGAAGGGGTACAAGCAGAAAGAAGGAATAGACTATGACGAAGTATTCGCCCCAGTGACGAGAATGGAAACAATTAGGTTGCTGATTTCCTTAGCAGCTCAACACAGATGGACAATCTTGCAGATGGACGTAAAGTCGGCATTTCTGAATGGAATCTTGGAGGAGGAAGTATATGTTGAACAACCACTCGGATACATGCGAAGAGGAGAAGAGAAGAAAGTGCTGAGATTGAAGAAGGCACTTTATGGCTTGAAACAAGCTCCACGAGCATGGAATGAAAGAATTGACACTTACTTCAAAAGGAATGGATATGAGCAGTGTCCTTATGAACATGCTCTATACATAAAGAAGAAAAGAGAAGATGTGATGTTTGTTGCCCTATATGTTGATGATCTTATCTTCATGGGAAATAATGCCGAGCTAATTGAAGAGTTTAAAGAAGTGATGAAGAAGGAGTTTGAGATGACTGACTTGGGTCTTATGAAGTATTTTCTTGGCTTAGAAGTTGTTCAGGGAAAGGATGGCATCTTTGTGTCGCAGGAAAGGTATGCTGAGGAGATCTTGAAGAAGTTTAAGATGACAAGTTGCAACCCGGTTTCCACCCCTATGGAACCTGGTACAAAACTTTCTAAGTATGCAGATGGAGACCGAGTTGATGCGAGCAAATACCAAAGTCTGATTGGAAGTCTTAGGTATCTTACAAATACCAGACCAAATTTAATGTTAAGTGTTGGAATAGCAAGTCGATATATGGAGGAGCCAAGGTATATTCATTGGAAGGCACTAAAGAGAATTCTAAGGTATGTGAGAGGAACAGTGTCACTTGGCCTAATGTATACTAGGACGGATGATTATCGACTAGTAGGCTACTCGGATAGTGACTGGTGTGGAGATGTTGATGACCGGAAAAGCACGTCTGGATATGTATTCTTCATGGGAAACACAACATTCACATGGCTTTCAAAAAAGCAGCCCATTATAACGTTGTCAACTTGTGAAGCCGAGTACGTTGCAGCATCCTGGAGTGTCTGTCATGCAGTTTGGCTTAGAAACCTTCTAAGCAAGCTGGAGTTGAAGCAAGAAAGAGGGACTGTGATTCGAGTTGATAACAAGTCGGTCATTGAATTGGCAAAGAATCCAGTCAATCATGAGAGAAGCAAACATATTGATGTTCGGTTTCACTTCATCTGAGAACAAGTGAAAGAAGGAAATGTGGAGTTAGAGCACGTCAGAACCCGAACACAAGCTACAGATATGTTCACGAAGCCACTGTCAACCACTCTGTTCGAGAACAACAAGAAGATGCTTGGAATGAAGGACAAGAAAAGCATTTAAGTTTATGGGGGGATTTTGTTAGGTAAACATTAAATGCATGTAGTTGAGAGGTAGTGGTTATAGAGGTAGTAGTTGAGAGGTAGTTGTTGTATTGAATGTATGTAGTTGAAAGGTAGTAGTTGTATTAAATGCATGTAGTTGAGAGGCCATATCCAAAGGGCCTATATATTGACCATGCATCACTCATTGCAAATACATCAAGTGATAATATACAGAGTGCTTTATTTAGATACTTGTTTGTCTACAAAAATACCTTTCTC